TAGTTGTGCAACTATTATTAATTGATTTTAGAATTGATGTTCATTACTCCAAAAAAAAAAAAACACAACACCTTGTATTCCTTGGTTGTCACTCCCCATCCTCTTCCCCTAGTTCTTTTTTTTTATCCTCACCCGAGGACATTTTTCTATTTTTTGTTTAGATAGAGTGGGAGGAAAAGAGAGAGAGAGAGAGAGAGAGAGAGAGAGGCATCGATGTGAAAGGGACACATCGAGTGGTTGCCACCCGCATGACCCAACCAGGGCCGGGGACAAACTGCAACCGAGGTACGTGCCCTTAGTGGGAACTGAACCCGGGTCTCCCTGGACCGCAGGCTGACTCTCCAGCCGCTGAGCCAAACCGGCCAGGGCCTCCCCTAGTTCTTGGCACCCATGAACTCACTCTTTCTCTGTGGATTTGCCTGTTCTGGACATTTCATATAAATGAAATCGCACACTGTGTGTACTTCTGTCTGGCTTCTGTCATCGACCATTATGTGTTCACTGTCCATCCATGTTGTAGCGAGTGTCAGTGCTTCACTCCTTTTCTTGGCCAAGTAATATTTTATTGTTTAGTTTGGTTTTTCTGTTCATCGGTTCTTTCCACCTTTGGCTGTTGTGGAGAATCCTGCTCTGAACATCCATGTGCAGTGTCAGCGTAGATGTAGTTTTCTTTTCTCTTGGATATTACAGGGGAGGAGGAGCCTAACTTTGTCCCTCTACTCTCCTATGTTCTTCATGAGGGCCCTGTGATTTAGACTGATGAAAAGCAGGTTAACCAACTAGAGTGAAACAAGTAGTGCCCATCACACAGTCGAACTAGGTGATGAGTAACTGGGGTGGTGAGGATTTGGGCTTTGGGAGCATCTGAACAAAAGAATAGATCATAGACAAGTGATGACGAAAAGGACTGAGTTCTGAGGGCATCAGGTTGTGGGAAGGTAAACATGAGGGAGCTAAGTGGAAGATCAGGTGAATTAGTAAGGTCTGTGTGTGTATTCTCTCTCTTGGTGCCATCTTGTCTCCAATGATAAGTGGGCTCTCTTCCTGGTTTTGAGTGGCACCCCCACAGGAGTTTATGCTCTGCTTTCAGGAAGGTGTGGGGTAGAGCTCATCCTGTGTCTGGTTTTCTCAGTTGCTTTCAGCTTGAAATAATCTTTATACCAGAGTGGTGTATTTTAGAGTGGCGTACTCTGAACTCCTTCATTGTGTATACCTGGGAGTGAAATTGCTGGTAAACACTGTGCTAACTTTTGGAGGAGCTGCTGACTGGTTCCCAAAGGGGCTGCTTCATTTTACATTCTCTCCTGTTATTCTTCTTGACACTTGTTATGTCTTTTTTGGTCATAGTCATTCTGTGGTATCTTGCTGTATTTTTTATTTGATTTCCCCTGATGTTGAGCATTTTTTCACATGCTTATTGGCTGGCCATTTGTGCATCTCTGGAGAAATATCTATTCAGACCCTTTACCCATTTTAACATTGAGTTATCCATTTATTAATGCATTGTAAGAATTCTTTATATTAAAGAAAAAAGAATTCTCTCTATATTCTAGATGCAAGTCCTTTATCAACTATGATTTGCAAATATCTTTTTCCATTCTGTGAGTTGTCTTTTCACTTTGTTGGTAATGTCCTTTGAAGCACAAAAGTTTTTTTATTTCAATGAAGTCCAGTTTATCTGTTTTTTTTTTGTTGTTGTTACTTGTGCTTTTTGGTGTCTTATCTCAGAAACCATTGCCTATTCCAGTGTAACAAAGATTTATCTTTGTTTCCTTCTAATCATATTTAAGGTCTTTGACCTATTTTGAGTTAATTTTTCTATGTGGTGTGAGATGGGTTCAGTTCTTTTCTTTTGCATGTGCATATCCAGTTTTCTTAGCATCATTGTTGAAAAGGCTGTTCATTCCCTAGTGAATTGTTTTGTCACCTTTGTCAAAATTCAGTTGATTGTAAGTGTGTGGGTTTATTTTTGGATTCTCATTTCTATTCCCTTTTTTTTTGTTTGTTTTTTTGTTTTGTTTTTTTATCCTCACCCGAGGACATTTTTCCTTTTTTTTGTTCAGGTAGAGTGGGAGGGAGAGAGAGGAACAGAGAGAGAGAGAGAAACATCGATGTGAAAGGGACACATCGAGTGGCTGCCACCCGCACAACCGACCAGGGCCGGGGACAAACTGCAACCGAGGTACGCGCCCTTAGCGGGAACCGAACCCGGGTCTCTCAGGACCGCAGGCCGACGCTCTAACCGCTGAGCCAAACCGGCCAGGGCCATTTCTATTCCTTTGATTTAAATGCTCAGCCTTATACCAGTACCACATGGTTTTGATTATTGTAGCTTTGTAGTAATTTTGAAATCAGGAAGTGTTCTCTTTCGAGATTGTTTTGGCTATTCTGAGCCCCTTGAGTTTGTATATTATTTTCGGAATCTGTTTGTCAGTGTTTGCAGAGAAGCCAGCTGAGATCCTGATAGGCACTGCATTGACTCTGTAGATCAGCTGGGGAGTATTGACATCTTAACAATATTAAAGTCTTCTGAGCCATGAATATAGGATGTTTTTCCACTTAGATCTTTAATTTCTTTCAACACGTTTTGTACTTTTTAAAGTATAAGTTTTGAGCCCTGGCCGGTTTGGCTCAGCGGTTAGTGTCGGCCTGCGGTCCAGAGAGACCCGGGTTTGGTTCCCGCTAAGGGCATGTACTTTGGTTGCAGTTTGTCCCCGGCCCTGGTTGGTCCTGCGGGTGGCAGCCACTGATGTGTCTCTCTCACATCGATGTCTCTCTCTCTCTCTCTCTCTCTCTCTCTCTCTCTCTCTTCCTCCCACTCTATCTGAACAACAAAATGAAAAAATGTCCTTGGGTGAGGATAAATAAAAAAAAAAAGAATATAAAGTATAAGTTTTGAGCTTCCTTTGCTAAATTTATTCCTAAGCATTTTATTCTTTTTGATGCTATTGTAAATGGAAGTGTTTTCTTAATTTCCTTTTTTAGTTAATTGCTAATATATGGGAATAAAATTGATTAAAATTTTTTTTTCTCTTTATTGATTTTAGAGAGAGAGAGAGAAATATCAATGAGAGAGAACATCGATTGACTACCTCCTGTATGCCCTCACTGGGGCTTGGGCCCACAACCTAGGCATGCGCCCTGGCCAGGAATTGAACTGGCGACTTCTTGGTGCATGGGTCAATGCTCAACCACTGAGCCACACTGGCTAGACTTTTACGTGTGTTTTTTAAGTACAGCCTGGCATAAAATTGATTTTTATATGTTGATCTTGTACTCTCCTACCTTGTTGAACTCATTTATTAGTTCAGACATGTTTTTAGTGATTCTTTAGTATCTTCTGTGTAAGATTATTTTATCTGCAAAAAAAAAATAGCTTCACTTCTTCCTTTCCATTTTGGATTCCTTTATTCCATTTTCTTGCCCTTACTAGAACCTCCAGTGCTGCTTTGAACAGACGTGGCGAAGGTAGGCATCTTGTCATGTGCCTGGGATTGGGGGCTATCCAGCCTCTCACCACTGAGGGGTGTTATTGGATTCCATCATGAGCAGGTTCCATTTTATTCCTAGTTTGTTGACCTTTTTAAAATTTTTGAGGTATTTTTTTATACCACAAAATATACCCATTTAAAGTGTTTAATTAAATGATTTATAATATGTTCACAAAGTTTTGAAACTATCACCTCTATCTAGTTCTAGGACATTTTCATCACCCTAAAAGGAAGTCCCATCCCCATCAGTAGCCATCCCACCCTCTCTCCAGCCCTGGCAACCATGGATCCACTTTCTGTCGCTGGATTTGCCTGTTGTGGACATTTCACATAAATGGAATCTTACACTGTATGGTTTTTTGTGTGGCTTTTTTGTGTGGCTTCTTACACTGAGCATTGTGTTTTCAAGGTTTATCCATGTGTCAATGTTACACTTCTTTTTGTGGCTGAGTAATATTCCAGTGTATGAATGGACAACATCGTGTTTATCCATTCATCTGCTGTAGGACTTTTGGGTTGCTTTTCTTTTTGGCCTTTGTGAACAATGCTAATGTGAACATGTGTGTTTAGTATGTACCTAGGAGTGGAATTAAATGCTGGGTCATTTTCCTGGCTGGTGTGGCACAGTGGCTGAGCATTGATCCATGCACCAAAAGGTCGCCGGTTCAATTCCTGGTCAGGGCACATGCTGGGGTTGTGGGCCCAGTCCCTGGTGAGGGGCGTGCAGGAGGTAGCCAGTCGATACTCTCTCGTCTATGTTTCTATTTCTCTCTTCCTCTCTCTTCCTCTTTCTCTAAAATCAATAAAGAAAAATAATAAAAAACATAAAAAATAAAAAATAATAAAAAACATAAAAAATAAAAAATAAATAGAGTTATCATTTGATTTTGGAGGAATTGCCAGATTTCCCCAAAGTGGCTGTTTTGCCTTTTGAAGGCTGGGACCCTTGCAAAATGGGCCATTGTGTTAGACATGGCTGTCAGTAATGCCTGTTGAGTGTGTGCAGTAGGGCTGTGTGGGCCTCGGTTACCTGGTCCCTGTGTCCTGGGCAGGTGATACCCATTGTTACCTGCTGGCTGTGTCAGGCTTATCACAGTCCCCATGGTGTTGTTTTCCCACTTGGAGATGAGGATATTGAGGTTCCGAGGTTCTGGAGCTACTATGTAAACTTGTGTTGGTACATCCTCTGTGTGCTTGACTTAGGAGCTGGGAAGTAGCTTCTAGCACCGGCACTCCTGGTCCCACTCTCAGTGTTTCCTCCTTAGCCCTTGGAGGCAGCTCCCATGCATTATCCCCTGGAGTCCAGATGAGGCCACTTCCCGAGGCCACCCGGGGAGCCAGGCTCTGACATGTGTTTGCTTTCAGTGGATTCGGGGCTGGCTGAGCTAACCCTGCCTCTCTTCCTTTACAGGCCTCCTCGCTGGAGAGGCAGAGCCCTCAAGTGGTCTCCTGCCTTACTCACAGCCTGTGCACTGGGGAGCCTGGATTACCGACAACAGCAGGTGCCTCCTTTGCCCCATCTTCTTTCTGCCCAGGGCCATCAGGGCCACTTCAGTTGTCAGAGACAGAACCTTTCTCAGCCTGGCGATACAAAGATGGTGTGCTGGCCCACAGAGTCTAGGGATGGGTGCAGACAGAGTGGCCAGTACTTTTGTTTTCCATTCTATGTTGGGGGCTGGGTAGGGGTCCTGCTGGTGCCTGCACCAAGGCTGAAGGAAAAGTGGGGGCTGAGGGAGGAGGAATGGGTGCTGGTTGGGCACCATCCTGGGTGTCCTTCACCTTCCCTGAGCTGGCTGCTTGCCCACTCCTGCCTGGCCCCTGCAACTCATCCTATTGCTGTTGTGTGCTTTGGACCCACGTGGAGAACCAACAACCATGGCCTTCATCGCTCCCTGGCTTGGGTTGATTGAGACCTAGTTATTTTTGTTTGTTTGTAAAATTCAACTTCCTGAATGGAAAGATAGCAGTGAACATATCTTGGCTCTTTTGGGAAAACCCCAAATCTGGTAATAACATCTACCACCCACTGGGTCATGCATGGGATACTGCTGTAACTCTGCTGGAGGAGGAGGAGGGACTGACATTTGTTGGGCCTACTGCGTGCTGTTCATTGGCATTCTCCCTGCACTGTGCCTGCAGTGACTCACAGAGGTTGGGTGTACAGCATCACCCTTGTATTTCTGGAGCTGAAGTCTTGACCAAGCCATGCAGGCAACAGGAACCAGGTGTGGAGCCTGCTTTGTTGGGTCCTTGTGCTCTATTCACACTGACTCACGGCGGGGGGGCTCATCTCTTCCTTGACCACTTGCTCTCTTCCCCGACCCTCGCAGGTATCTGTGGTCAGGGAGGCCAAACAGTCCCCCAGGAAAACACATCCCTAAAATGCCCAGAATTCGTGTGCAGTTAGCCAGGTGTGCTGTTCTGTCAGGAGTCCTTCTGTTGGGAGTTCCCACATGGTAGACTGACATTGCTGACCACCTGCATGTACAGAACCACAGCCTCTCACACACATAACACAGCCTCATGCGCACACATATGCACGCACACTCATGGCCTTGCATGCACTTGTTCACACACAGCCACAAACTCCATTCAGGTGAACATGTCATGTATGCAGGCACACACAGTTGTGCACCTGCATATATATTTGCATATACACAAGTTATACAGGCTTACAAAGTTACATACACGTATGCACATAGCCTCATGTGTGCACATGGCCACACCACATGCACACATGCAGGCATATGTGGCTACACATACATATGCATGTGTATATATGCACATGTACAGCTTCACACAGTTGCATGCATACACACATATTCACAATCATGGACTTTCATGTATGCATGTACACACATGCACACTGACCACACACTGTAGGCTTCATCCTTGGTGGCAGTTGGGCCACTGTTGCTTTCTCTACCCCAGCCGTCTTCAGTCTCATTGCGATGACGGAGATGGGTGGGGTGAGGAGCTCACACAGGTGGTATTCCCTCTATAGATGTGTCCATGGGCTCTGCAGACCAGCAGTTCAACCTTGCAGAGATCCTGTCGCAGAACTACGGCATCCAGGAGGAGTGTGAAGGGGCCGAGAGACGCCCAGAGCAGCCCGAGGAGGAGCTGGACAAGGACTTCATCTCCCAGGTACTTGGCTGAGAGTCTGCCCGATGTGGGTGAAACCTGCTAGGCAAATTCCACACTTTCTTATTTCAGCTAAATTGGTCTGCAAGGTGCTCAGATTCTGCAATGACAACTTCTGCTTGCCCATCTGTTTACAAAGCTCCAGGCCCTATGTTAGGAGCTGAGGTCACAGGGGACAGACCAGACCTGGTCTTGCCTTCAAGGAGCTCTAGAGCTGTAAACCAGTGGTGTGGCTGGACATTAAACTTAACCATTTTCAGACTTTTTTGCCTCAGAACCCCCTATCCTTTGAAAAGTTATTGACGGTCTCAAGCAGCTTTGTTGATGCAGTATACAGTAAGCCAGTTGTTAATAGAAATAACATTTTTATGAAAATGAAAAAAATCACTGTTTTCTCAAGCAAAAATGAAATTAAGGATGAGTGGAATAGTTTTACATTTTTGTAAATCTCTGAATGCAGGAACAGTGTAAGAGAATCCAGCTGCTGTCCTGGCAGATGTGTCTGTCGTGATGTGTTCTTCTGGTTGACATGTGAATCTGGCCTCATGCAGATGTTCCTGAAAAAAGGGTGGATAATTTAACAAACTGTTCAGATAGTTGCTGTTGTTCTTTGATGCTGGACCAGGATTCAGCAGCTAGTCATTTTGTAAAGGGTGACTGGAGAGGGCATTCTGTAGCCACATCTAGTGAGCTTCCTGTACTTGGTTACGTCTCAATTCAGTGGTCTTGAACGTGGTGTGGATCTTAACCCAGGTGTGATCTTGTCACCTCTGCACTGGTAACATGTTTGCAAAACCTTGGTTTTTTGACATGTAGATCTTCCACGTGTTGACAGTTCACAATATAAACACACATTTGTTAATACCATAGACCAGGGGCCTTAAATACCAAACATTTATTTTCTCGTAGTTCAGGAGACCAGAAGTTCCAGATCAAGGTTTTATAGGACTGTTTGTGAGGAGTTCCCTTCTTGGTGTGTAAACACTGCATTCTTATTGGGTCCTCACGTGGAGGGATGACAGTTCCCCTATCAGATCAGGGATCAGGGCCCACCCTCATGACACCATTTAAGTATTCCCATAAAGGCCCATCTCCAAATGCAGTAAATCAAGTTGGAGATTAGGGACCCAACATATACATGGGGGGGATGGGGCACAAACATTTAGTCCACAATAGTATCAACACTGATCTTATCCGACGTCTTTTAAATATTGGGAATTTTTTTTAAGGACTAACCACCAGGCATTTGTTTAACTTGGTGTCATGGATCACTTGGTGCCAGTTTGGTCTTATAACCAAAACAAAAATCTTCTCTTCAAAAACCAAAAGCCTCCCAGGCCAGTTTGGCTCAGCGGTTAGAGCGTTGGCCTGCAGTTCAGAGAGACCCAGTTTCGGTTCCTGCTAAGGGCATGTACCTCGGTTGCAGTTTGTCCCCGGCCCTGGTTGGGTTGTGCGGGTGGCAGCTACTCGATGTGTCCCTTTCACGTCGGTGTTTCTCTCTCTCTTCCTCCCACTCTATCTGAACAAAAAATGGGAAAAAAAAAATGTCCTCAGGTGAGGATTAAAAAAAAGAATCAAGGCTTCGATTCCGGTCAAGGTCACGTACTTCTGTTGTGGTTCGGTCCCCAGCCCTGGTCTGGATCGTGTGGGAGGCAGCCAATCAATGTGTCTCTGTCACACTAATATTTCTCTCTCCCTCTGTCTCTCCCTCCCTCTGTCTGAAAATAAATAGAAAAATATCCTCAGGTGAGGAGTTAAAAAAAAAAATTAAAAAAAACCCAAAAGCCAACCCTGGCCAGTGGACGACACTGTATCAAAAGATCGCCAGCTGGGTTTCGGGTTTAATCCCTGGTCAGGGTGTGTATGGGAGGCAACTGATCAATGTTTCTCCCTCACATTGATGGTTCTCTCTCTCTCTCCCTTCTTCTCTCTCTAAAAGAAATTAAAAAAAAAAGAAAAAAAAGAAAAGAAAACAATTTTAAAAAGTTCAACATGAGCTTAAAACTTCTCAAAACTCTCACACTTAAATCAGCTATTTATTAGCTAAATACCTAGATCTAGATTTTCTTAAAAACTAAGGTAAAAGCAGAAACCCTTTCATTTCATATTACCTTACCAGAGGCTGTGGGAATCAAGTTTACATCGTCAGATCCATGTTTTCCAAAATTAGAATTTTTTTTTTTATTCTCACCTGAGGACATTTGTTTTTGCATTTATCTTCAGACAGAACGGGAGGGAGAGAGGGAGGAAGAGAGAGAGAGAAACATTGATGTGAGAGAAACACATCGACTGGCCGCCACTCACATGACCCCAACGGGGCCAGGGACAAACTGCAACCAAGGTACGTGCCCTTAGCGGGAATGGAACCCGGGACTCTCTGGTCCCCGTGCCGACGCTCTAACTGCTGAGCCACACTGGCCAGGGCTGAATTTTTGCTTAAAAGCTCATTTTACTCTCACAGCAACCTCAGTCAGTTATTTCTTTGGAAGCAGCCACCCATTTACTTTGTGTCCGAGATGATGTCTGCCTGCCTTTTTTTTTTTATCCTCACCCGAGGACATTTTTCCATTTTTTGTTCAGATAGAGCGGGAGGGAGAGAGGGAAACATCGATGTGAAAGGGACACATCAAGTGGCTGCCACCCACATGACCCAACCAGGGCCGGGAACAAACTGCAACCGAGGTACGTGCCCTTAGCGGGAACCGAACCCGGGTCTCCCTGGACCGCAGGCCGACACTCTAACCGCTGAGCTAAACTGGCTAGGGCTGCCTGCCATTTTTAAAGTAAAGTTGGTGCCGTATACCGAAGGCAGCTTGTTTCCCTCACAACTTCACTCCTATAAGTGCGTTCCTTTTTTTTTTTTTAATTTTGTTTTTCTTTATTGATTTTAGAGAGAGAAAAAGGGAGAGAGAGAGAGAGATAGAAACATCGATGAGAGAAAACATCTGTTGGCCGCCTCCTGCATGCCCCTACTGGGGATTGGGCCCACAATCTGGGCATGTGCCCTGACTGGGAATCGAACCAGCAACCTCTTGGTGCTCAACCACTGATCCACACAAGCCAGGCTACAAGTACGTTTCTTAACAGTCACCACCTCACTTCTTAATGTGGCAGGCACTTCCTACATGCTTCCCATTTCCTCACACAGAAAATTAAAATGACATCTGCTCAGGCTGAAAGTTAATAAAATCAGTAATCTTATATGGGATGTTCTTAAGTGAAACTGGCATCTTTTTAAAACTGAGTAGGTGGTGGGCGGTAAGGAACATGCATTGGTGACTCACGAACTTTGTGCTCCTGCCTCCACCGCAGGGCACTGTGTGTGGGACCTTAGACTCTGCTCCATCAGTGCAAGTGTCAGTAGAGTGGGAGGCAGAAGTAATGGCATCACAGTGTTGTGAAAGTCCCAGGGAATCTGGGCATCTTTGGACCACTGTATGAACCCCTTTAACAGATGCATAATTATAAACTATGATGGGCAACATGAATGTTTTTCATCCTGTGTCCTGTGAGAACTTGGTTTAGAGGCAGGGAAGGAATGCCTCAGAGGAAGGGCTGGGAGAAGGCTGGGTGGTTTTCCACAGCGATGGAAGTCCCAGCATGAGGGCAGGGCAGGAGTCAGGGGGAGGGGCAGCAGAACTCCTGAGAGAATGAGAGGGAATGCTCAGGAGGCTGGAGGCTGACAGTGGACCCCTGGGGCCAGGATGGAGTGTGGTCAGAAGGAGTAGAGGTTTACAGGAGGGTGAGAAGCAGTGATTTGAAAGCAGTACTAGAGAGGAAGGTAGTGATAGTTTTTATCTCTTTTTTCCTAGTAATTAAATGTCTTATTTCCATTTCTTATCCTATTGGATGTGATCGAAGTGTCAAAACAGTGTGAGTAGCTCTATGTTCCCGATCCTGCCTTCCTGTTCTGAGCGTGATAGGATTGTTCTGACCATGCATTGTTGACCATCGAGGCTGACAGCATCTCCATTACAATGACGGGGCATCCATCTCTTTACCTAGTGTACTGAGGGCTTTGTAAAATCAGAGGTGGATGTTGGATTTTACCAGATGCCTTTTCCACATTTGTCCAGACAGTCATATGTCTTTGCCTTCCTGATTTACTGATGTCATGAATTGTGGTAGATTTCCAGATAGTGTGCCATCCTTGCTTTCCTGGAAATCAAGCCTGAACCGGTTTGAGCAGGGAAGCTTTTCGGGGCATTGTGGACTGAGAGGCCAGTCCTGGCTCCACCCTTTAAGGCTGGTGACCTTGGACACATACCTGACCTCTCTGGGCTCTGGTGTCTCATCTGTGCTCTCCTGAAGGTTGTAAGGGGTCCTTGGATGAAGGACTGGACCTGGGGTCTGGCTGGGGTGAGTTGCTGTGAATGTGACAAACTGGCCTGGCCCTGGTTGTGGTGGCTCATGGGGCTCAGACAGGAGGAGGGGGAGCAGAACCCACAGAGCAGCTCCTCCTGACGGAGTCTTATCCCCCCTCAGAGCAGTGACATGCCCCTTGATGAGCTGCTTGCCCTCTATGGCTATGAGACATCAGACCCCATCTCAGAGCGGGAGAGTGAGGGCAGTGATACTACAGCCAACCTCCCGGACATGACCCTGGACAAGGTGAGTGGGGTGTCTTTCTGAAACTGCTGGGAGGATTTAAGGAGGGTAGGCTTGAAGGCCTTGGAAAAGCAGAAATGCTGTCAGTAACTGTGAGGCCTGGATGATTTTTTAGAGGACCCTACTCTCCTGCTCCCCAGAGTCATAGCTGATGCACCCAGGGTTACAGTGGCCACAGGGGAGGGGGCTGAGATGAAAAGATTCTGACAGCTGGCCAAAGGAGAGGGGCAGAGTGGAGACTGGCCTGAAGAAACATAGCTGGGAAGAGGAGAACCAGTGAGGTCTTGACTCTCCAGGTCCTGACCAGGTCAGGGGTGGTGCCAGGAGGAGGGCTTTATTACCGAAGTTGAAAACCAAATGCACAAGGGGAGAGAGCAGTAACTGGGGGCTCTACCGTCCTGAGCTAGGCATGGGCGATGTCCCTTTTCCAGACTGCAGGGGTATGGGCTCAGGAACCACGTGCACCCATGCTGGAGTCCTGGCTGCCCTGCCCTGGCCCCTGGTCTCCTCATTTGCAAAGTGGGAAGAACAGCTCCTCCTGAGCCCTTGTCAATCCCAGAGGGAGGCCCATCAAGTTAGGGTCACAGTTATTATTAGGGTTATCTTAAGATTGTTAAAACAAACTGCAAAAATGTTCTTTACTTTTTATTAAAAGGAACAAATAGCGAAGGATTTGCTTTCAGGGGAAGAAGAGGAAGAGACACAGTCCTCGGCTGATGACCTCACCCCATCTGTGACCTCCCATGAGGCCTCCGACCTTTTCCCTAGCCAGAGTGGATGTAGGTGTCCTGCCTGCTCCTCCACTTGGGCTGGATCAAGCAAGGCTTTAGTGATACAGATGTAGGGCTTGGGCTACTGGGGGCAAAGAACTCAGACACAGTTCTCTGGTGCTTCTGGGGTGCCCTATTCTTGATCCGAGTCCCTTTGGGGTTTCTGTCTCACTGGTTTGTGAGCTGAGACTGATTGACTTTGGTTTACAGGAGGAGGGAATGTGTTAGTTCCTGTAGCTAAAAGCCCATCAGATGTGGGGGAAGTGTCCCAGCAGCATGAGGTGCTGGGGGCTCACAGCTGGTGGTTAGCAAGTCCCCACTCCTTTGCCATTGCACACCTGTCATCTGGCCAGGGCCTGGGACACACCTCTTCTTAGGAGGTCAGGTGGATGGAGAAGGGGGTGTAGGCTGCAGCAGTGAAGAACCCAGAATCTACTAGCCTGGGAGGGTACCCTGTGCCACAGATGTGTCTCACTGGCTCCCCCTTTCCCAAAGCCCGCTTCCTGACTGGCACAGACAAAGAGCTGGGTTCTTCCACCTCATCTGACACAGAGGAGGACCCTCTTCCTGCCAACAAATGTAAGAAGGTATGTGGCTCTGACCCTGTAGTACCTTCAACGTGGACCTCTGCCCTACCCTGGCGCAGAGACAAATGCACGGCTTCTGAGAAGTGGGCTGCACTGGGACTTAGCCATGGTGTGCGCACCTCAAGCCCATGCTGCTGTGGCATTGGCTGGTCCAGGGATGTGGCCCAAGGTCCTGTCCTGGGTGCTCTGAGCTGGTCATCAGGATACCTGGGTCCTCGAGCCTCACCTCTTGCCACATGACTGGCTATGCCGAAGAGGTGGACAAAAAGATTGAGACACATGGTCACTCACATACCCACACATACCCAGGTCTCTGCCTCCCATTCTCAGACCCTAGGACTTGGCATCTGTGGGAAGATAGCATAGACTAACAGCCCTGGGCTCTGGGCAATGGCTGAGCCTTCCATATCCCTGACGTTCCTGGGCCTTTGCCTTTGCAGGAGATCATGGTTGGGCCTCAGTTTCAAGCCGACCTCAGCAACCTGCACTTGAACCGCCATGGTGAGAAGAGTAAGTGGGGCATGGATCATGGTGGGGACAGGGAGAAGATGAAAACCCCACTCCAGCTGAGAAGTAACTTGCTGCACATCTAAGTCAGGGCCAGTTCCCAAATCGTCAGAGGGAATCTGAGGGGCGTAGCCTGGGTCAGGTGCCCAGCCTGGGTCAGGTGCCCGCCCTGTGCCAGCTCTGGGCAGCAGGTTTGCAGAGCGCTTCATGAGCAGGAGGAAGCAGGGCTTTGCACTTGTCCTCTGGGCACTCATACTCTTCCCCACTTAGCCCACAGGCCTCTCCCTTACCTTGTCTGTGTCCTGTCCCAGAGTCCTCCAGAAATCACTATTGCTGTGCCCTGCTCTATCCTTTGGGGTTCTCCCCAACCTGGACTTGGTGTTTGTCTGTCTGTTGATCCCACTACAATGTAGAGGCCTCTGTTCTTTGAGATAGGAATTGTGGCCTCCATTTACAGGTGAAGAAAACAAGATGTGAGGTAATCTGCCTATTGAGTCTTGCTTTTCTTGCTCCAGAGCCTCTGCAGGCCCTGGGCTGGTACTCTTTTCTCAGGAGGCTTTTCCCAGATGATTCAACAGTTGGGATTGGGGGTGGGATGGGATAGACAAGGGAGACAGGGACCCCTAGTAAAGAGTAAGGCTTCCGGGGGGGCCAGAGGCTGGGACGTGGGTGTGATGGGATGTGTTTGCTTTGTTGTAGGCAGTTTGGGCAAAGGATGGTAGACAGGAAAGTGAAGCTAAGCTGGGTCACAAGGGACACTGCAGTGAATCTCTGCATCCGACCACACCCAGGACCCTCCCCCAGAAAAAAGGCACCTGTGTACACACCTTAGCTACACCTCAGAGGGGCTGGAGCCTGTGCCAACCTTGGTTTGAAGCCCTGCTGTGGAGTATGTCCTGCCTTGCTCTCTCCCCCAAGCCTGCACTGCAGGGATTAGGTCTTTGGTACTGTGGGGATGGGAGTTGGCCTCTCATGTTACACTGTGAGATTAGATCCATGTGTGTGGCATGTCCATCTTGTGTTACTGTTGTGTTATGTTCCCTGTATAGATGTACTACATTGGTTGTCCCTTCTATTGATTGATACTACGGTTGTCTGCTGTTGTGGTTATGATTGTCTTCCGGTGTGTCTTAGTGGACACACGCACTTGTTCCTGGATAGATGGCTGGGAGGCATATGGTTGCTTACATTAGATCTATGGACACTGCTTAGGGGGTCCTACCAGTAGTGTGAGGGGCTCTAGTGCTCCACTGTTTTGTTGCTTTTAACCCTTTGGGTGGGTTGAGTGGTGGCTTTCATTTGGATTTCTCTGATGAGTAATAATAATATGTCTACTGGCCATTCTGATATCTCATGCGAAGTACCTGCCCAGGGTCTTTCCCTATTTTTAAATTGGGTTGTCTTTTTCTTATTTGTGGGGTTCCTTCTGTGTTATGGATATAAGTCCTGCGTGGGTGCTGTGCGCTGCAGGTTTTCTCCTAACGTCCCGCTTATCAGTCTGTATTTTAGCTTACTGTATGAGCTGGCGAAGGTGTCTCTGCAGGTGTGGCAGATATTCTTTATCTTCTCTGTTACGTTTAAGGTCGTGATGTGACTTAATTTGATTTTTGTTTTATGGTTGGAGGTTGGGGTCTGGGTCCATTTTTTTCCCCTGTGTTACTTTGGCACCACATATTGAAAAGGTAATTTATTCTCCACTCAGTCGCAGTGGTGCCTATGTTGTGCACTGTTTCTGAGCTTCTGCTTCTACATTGTCTGGGGTGGTACAGGTCCTCTGGCCTCGAAATATCGTTGCATGTCCATGGAAGTATGTAAATTAGCTTGCCATAACACTGCCTGTCATTTTACTTTATGTTTGTCCTTATCAGGCTTTGGGGTCAGGTATGCTGTTGTCACCAAGTATGCTGGGAAGTGCCTTTTACTAACCTCAGGGAGAATTTGCTTGAGATTGTTACTATTTCTTCTCTATGTGTTTGGAAGAATTCCTCAGTGAAGCTGTCTGGGCCTGAGATTTGCTTTGTGGAAGATTTTAATTACAAATTAAATATATTTAATAATATAGTCCTCACTAGAGTTTCTGTTTTGATATGTTGCATTTTTGAAGCATTTATTTCATTAAGAAATTGTTAACCTTATTATAAAAAAGATCATAGTATTCTCTTATCTTAATGTCTGTAGGATCTATAGTGGTGTCCCCTTTTTGAGTCCTGATAATGGTATTTTGCATTTTCTCCTTTTTAGTTTCTCTTGGTCAGTCTTGTTAGGGGTTTGTAACTTTTATTGCCCTTTACAAGGAACTCACTTTTTGCTTGTTGAGTTTTCTTTGTTGTCTGATTGCTATTTAATTGATTTTTACTTTTATCTGTATTTTCTTTCCTTTTAGTTTGTTATTATCTAATTCACATTGTGATCAATTCTATGACTCAGGAGTGACTTTGGAAGTGTTCTGTTTAATTTCCAGTTGTTGGGGAATTCCTCGTTGTGCCACTCCCTCTTCAAGTCCAGAGAATATACTCTGTGATTTTAGTCTTTTGAAATTAGTTGAGCCTTGTTTTATGGCCAATATTTAGTCTATTTTGTAAATGCTGCTTTCTGTGTTTTTATATTTGGTGTATTTTCTATATTTGGCATATTTTTGGTTCTAATTTTTTATCCAGTCTGATACTCTTTTGCCTTTTAATAGAGAGTATTTAGTCCAGTTACAGTTTGGACTGTTTTCCATGTGATTGTGAAAACAGTTGGGATAAGTCACCATCTTCTGTGTGTTTTCTCCTTGTTCCATCTGTTCTTTTTTTCTTCTTTTTGATTAGTCAAGTAGTTTTATTTAATTTTTTTCTCCTTGAGATTATAAGTTTTAATTTTTATATTACTTTTTCAGTGATTGTCCTAGTTTACTTTAGATCAGCAATTTTCAACCAATGTGCCTTAAGACTCTTTTTTTAACCTTCACCTGAGGATTTTTTTTTCCCATTTATTGTCCCATAGAGTGGGGGTTGGGGGAGAGAGAAAGAGAGAAACATTGATGTGAGAGAGCCACATTGATTGCCTGCCTCCCACATGACCCCAACCAGGGCTGGGGTTCAAACTGTAACCGAGGTACGTGCCCTTGACCAGAAATGAACCTGTAACTCTGGTCTGTGGGCCAACACTGTAACTGCTGAGCCAAACCGACCAGGGCTAGACTTCTTAAAACATGCAATACCTTACTGTTTAGTCAGGGGCACTGACCTAATTTTCCTTAGACTGTCAAGTAAAAAAGTGACAACAGCCAACACAATAATAGCTGTCTGGTGTGAATGAATCAAATTACACAGTTATTTTTTTTTGCTAGATTGGCAAAAAATACACTTTTTGGTATGCTTCAGAATTTTAGTAATTTATGTGTGCCATGAGATAAGTGCATTCTAGTCCCCTCATCTGTCCTGCCCATTGTGCTGCTGCTGCTTCTGCAGGGACTGCATTTGCCACAGTGACAACATTGTGGTTTACATGACAGATGTTCCTCACGTTTATTCACAGCTGCCTGGTGGTTATTCACATTCCTTCCAGCTGCCATTTGGGATCATTTCCTTCTGTCTAAAGAATTTGCTCTTTTATATTTCTTGTTACGTTGATGAATTCTTTTAGCTTTTGTTTGTTTGGAAAATCTTAATCTTGATTTCACTTTTGGAGGAGTAGTTTCAATAGTCTAGATTTCTAGATTTGTCAGCTTTTTTCTTATATGTGAACCATTTCATTCCATTGTCTTTGGCATCTGTTGTTTCTGTGGAAAAGTCAGTCGTCTGTCTTACTGTTTCTGTTGAAATCCTTGTTCATTGTTTCTCTTCAGGCTGGTTACATTTTCTTTTATTTTCTAGCATTTTGACCAGATGTGGCTTTCTTTGTATTTATCTTGACTTTCTTGGATCTGTAATTTGGTATCATGCATCTGTTTTGGAGAATTCTTGGCCATTGTATCTTCAGATTTTCTTCTGCCCCATTCTTTGTCCATTTCTTCTGTGACTCAATTATACATGTGACTATCTTCTTCATCCCCTAACTATGTTCTCTTCAATCTCAGTTTGATTCCTTCTCTTAAATTTTTGTTTAATTCTTTTAGATTTCACTTATGTCTTCTGATATGTCCAAGCTGCTGTTAGAGTGTTCAGTGGGTTCATACATTCACAAGTTGTATTTTCCAGTCCTGGAAAGTTCATGTGATTTTTTAAAGTCCCGTTTGCTAACTCTGATTTCCAGCCATTTGTAGATTTACTTCTGTTGTTTTATAGTTTTCCTCACACATTCACGTGCTAGGTAGATGGAGGGCCAAGGTCACAGGATAATGATATTTTTTTCCAGAGAGGGGTTTGTTGTCTTCTCAGGCCAACTACCCTGGTTCAGGCTGGGACTTGCATCAGTATGGAGGTGGTAGAAGGTAGCTCCAGGCCCACAGGGGCTCTTGCACTAGGAGAGGCCACTGACCCTGTGGTTCTCAGCACCAACCCAGAAGTTGTTGCTTCCTAGGCAATTTCTCAATCAGAAATTCCAACACAGGAGCCATTTTTCTGAGTGTGTTTTTCACTTTCTGGCCACTGCACTGGATTGTTTGTATTATTTGATTTGTAGTCCCTGTGACTCTTCCCTGGATAATTAAAAGGTGTTGGCACTGGGGTCTTTCCAGACCTGACCGTGAGATCTCCCTTCTGTTTCTTCCCCATCACATCCCTCCCCAGCTGGAGACTGCCATCCACTGCCACCAAAGGGCAGAACTCCCCTTCCCTGGGTAAAGTACACTCTCTGTAGTTTGTACGATGCTGTGGTTAGAGTGGTCGTGGCCTAAGTGAGACCACTGGGACCCAGGTCTCACTGCTGGTATCAAGTCCGGGCTCTTCACTGTGCTTTCTTAGGACTCTGCTTTTCAAGACTTGCAACTATGTAAATGGATTTACCTTCCTTGAACCCATTACCTATATAACTCTCTCCCCAAAGGCCCTGCTCAGAAGTTCCCCTTTTCTCAACTCAGGCTAGTGGCTGCCTCCTTCAGGAGGCTGCCTCAGATTTCCTGGCTGGGAAGTACCCCATTGGCCTTCCACAGCTTCCCACCCTTTGTTGTTACCCTAACTACCCTGGGCCTGGTGACCTTATGACCTGGAGGGATGTGGAAGGGATGGGCCCAGGTCACAAGAACCAGACATGCACATTAACAGCTGTTGTTTTGGAGGTGCTGGGGCGGCCAGCCTGTGGATGCTTGTGGGGAGGGAGTGCACACTCTTTGACCCTGGCGCTCCTTCTAAACAGTCTATGAGAATGAAGACCAGCTGTTGTGGGACCCGAACATTCTCCCTGAGAGGGAGGTGGAAGAGTTCCTGTACCGGGCAGTCAAGCGGAGATGGCACGAGACGACCGGGTCTCAACTCCCAGAGGGAGAAACAGTGAAAGATAGTGAGCAGGTAGGCAGCATGCTGGATGGTGTGAACACCTCCATATTTCTGTCCCGATGGTAGTGTAAATGCCCCCATGTTCCTGCCTCATTGGGAGGTAAATGCCCCCTGATAGCTCCACTATGATGGTGGTATAAATGCCCTCAATATCCCTGCCCCAATGATGATATATATGCCCCAAACATCCCTGCCCAATGGGGTGAATGCCCCTGATATACCCACCTTGGTGGTGGTGTGAACACCTCCATATAACTGCCCTGATGGCATTATAAACACTCCCCATATCCACACCCTGATAGTGAGATGAGCACCCTCATATCACCACCCTGATGGTGAAGTAAATGCCCCCCATATGCTTGTCCCAATGATGTGTACACCCCCATATCCCTGTCCCGATGGTGGTGTGACTGCCCCTCCCTCCCCATTTCCCACTGTGATGGTAGGATAAATGCCTCCAATATCATCACCCTGATGGTGGTGTAAATGCCCCCAAATTCCTGCCCCGATGGGGTAAATGCTACTACTGCAGCTGCTGGTGAGCAGGTGGGAAGAGGTTTTCACTCCTCCAGGCACTGTATGAGCTGGTGAAATGCAGTTTCAATGTGGAGGAGGCTCTGCGGAGACTGCGGTTTAATGTGAAGGTGATCCGAGGTGAGTGCCCCCCCCCCCCCACCACCCTTGCTGTGTGTCCTTGTGTGGGCACTGCTGATGCCACTGCCTCCTGGTTTCAGACGGGCTCTGTGCTTGGAGTGAGGAGGAATGCAGAAACTTTGAGCACGGCTTTCGAGTGCACGGGAAAAACTTCCACCTGATCCAGGCCAATAAGGTGAGGACATGGCCCACTCTGCTCCTGCTGGGCTGCACCGTGGTCTCCTTGGGGCTGGGAAGGACTTGGGAGCCTGGGCAAATGGCACCACCCTATACCACACAGCACAGGGTTGTGACTACCCTCACCAGGCTCCTGAGGCTCCTCTGAGCTGAGGGCTAAAGCTCTGGTTTCTGCTTCTCGTCCTGCATACCGGTTTTCATATTATTCTAGTCTCCTGTCTCAAGCCACTTCCAGCCCTGGTCGGTTTGGCTCAGCGGTTAGAGCGTTGGCCCACGGACCAGAGAGTCCCGGGTTCGGTTCCTGCTAAGGGCATGTACCTCAATTGCAGTTTGTCCCCGGCCCCAAATGGGGTCGTGTGGGTGGCAACCAGTCGATGTGTCTCTCTCACATCGATGTTTCTGTTTCTCTTCCTCCCTCCCTTCCTCGTGCTTTATCTGAATATAAATGCAAAAATGTCCTCGGGTGAAAATGAAAAAAAGAGAGAAGGCTCCATTATGGGAACTAATTTGCCTAAAGATGAATTTTTAGTAGTTGTGCCTGTCTTCACCATCTATTCATGTGGTCATAGATACTGCCTTGTTATCTCCATGGAGCCCAGTGCTTATGCTGCAGTCCTGACCCCCAGCCTGGACCCCACTCTCAGCTCCTAGCCATGGGGAACAAGGGTCTCCTTGTTCGATCCAAGGAAGTAGGTCTCTCCTGCCACCTGTGGCAAATGTTCATGACCAGAGGGGCTGCTGAGTGCCAGGTCTCTGCCCTCCCCGGACCTGTGTTTTTCTTAGACCTGAGTTCACCTGTCTTTCCCTGGACCTGAATTCCCCTATTTTTCCTAGGCCCAAGTCTATGTGTCCTCCCTTAGACCTGAGTTTCCCTGTCCTTCCCTGGACCTGAGTCCCCTTGTCCTTCCTAGACCTAGGTCCCTCTCCCTGGACATCTGGCTGGATATGCTCCCATGACTCTATCTCTGAGTCTGAGTTTTCCTTTGTCTATCTCACCGCAGCTCCTCCTCCTCACCCCTGCTCCTAGTGTTTTTTTTTTTGCCCTTCTAGGGAAGAAGCCCTGGCCCCTTCCTGCTATTCATGGTGACAGCTTGTGGAGAAGCAGGGCCTGGCTGAGACCTAGCTCACTTTTGGGGCCTGTGTCTTCTCTTGGGAGGTTGGAGTCAATGAGGCACCTGTGCTGGGCCACTGCAGGAACAGGATGATGCTTAGCTGACCTGCCCAGTGTCATTTCAGGCAGCAGTAGCTAGATCCTATAGGCAGATCAGCTCCTGCTGGTGTGCTGCAGTGCGCTGTTCCCTGTATTTCCACTGCAGCTGAGGCTGCTTCCATGAGCAAAACTTGACATGGGTTATCTTCCACATGTTTGCCCCGTGGTTATCACACACATTTTAAATTTGCACCTACACTGGTCCCAGGGAGGCTATGAAGCTCTCACTTCAGTTAGACCCCCTGATGCAGAAGGGGATCATTGAGGAGGGGACAGCTCCTGTGTGCCCTGCTTGTCCCCTTGGCTCCCAGGCCTCCCTGGGCTCCGTTTTCTGTCTCTCATCCTGTGGACAGACCAGCAGGGCTTCTCAAACATTGTAGCTGTAACACACCCCTGGCCTTGCTGTAGGGGCTTTTCCAAAGATGCCCCAAGAGGTTTTGCTAGGTGGCATCCAGCTCCATGCTGGACCGTCCCTTATCTTTCTATGTGATCTGAGTCTGTGGGTCATGAAGCCCCAGTGTGTCTTTAACGGCATCCCATGTGCTCATAGATAGCTCTCCCTTGGGTGCTAGTGATGTTCCGTGGGAAAAGCAGACTCGACCAGGTTGCATGTCGCCCTCTCTGGGTGGGGGCTCTGTCCCTGGTATCTCCTTTGGGATGTTAGTGACAATCCTTGCTTTGTGGGAAAAGTGGGTGCAGCCAGGTCATATGCTGTTCTCTCTGGGTTGGGGCTCTGTCCCTGGTGTCTGCACAAGAGCTTGTCATTCCCCTTCTGCTGGACCTGTGATGAGCAAGGGATGAGGTAGATACTGCAGTCCCTGGGAGCTTGGTGAGATCTGGGGCAAGAGAGGTGGACACTGGACACATGGATCCAGAGTGAAGTAGAATGGGGTCCTATGTCAGCAGGTGGTGGAGCTGAGATTGGGTGCCTTCATGGTTAGGACAAAGGCTAAGCCCTGGACAGGGGGTGGCCTTTGAGCCTTAGATGGGGACTGGAGGTGGTTGCAGAGGACCCTAGGGGTGTGGGTAGGGTCTTTGAGCTCAGTGGTTCCCGTGACCTGTTCTCGCTTTCCTGGGAAGCAGAAGGGGCTGGGCATGTGGGGCCCAGATGACACCGCGCTGTCCCTCAGGTGCGTACACGGTCTGTGGGCGAGTGTGTGGAGTACTACTACCTGTGGAAGAAGTCTGAGCGCTATGACTACTTCTCACAGCAGACACGGCTGGGCCGGAGGAAGTATGGCCCATCAGGAACCACGTATGTGCGGTGGGCTTCCAACAGGACCTGGGGTCAAGGGGGGACTGAGAGTCCCAGGGAGCACCTCCCGCCCGAGGCAGCTGTCCCCCTACAGTCACCCATGATGCCTCTTTCCACAGGGACACAGACCAGGACCTAGACGGCAGTGACCCCGATGGCCTTGCCCGTCCCCGCTCCTCACCACCCCTGCCCCCTGCTGCTGACAGCCTAGGCCCTGAGCAGGACCCTCTGGCACGGATGCACATAGGTGAGAATGTGGGGTGGGTCCCTGTCCTTGGGGGATCCCCCTTGTAACTGGCACCCTGACCTGTGCCAGTGGACACTAAGGAGCAGGTGTCTGGGAGACATTGTCTGTCTACTCCATGAGGTGTCACACATATGAGTTGTCATGGGGTGCTTGTTGGTTTTCCATGTGGAGGGGAACCATGTGTGCCCTGTGGCCCAGAGTAGGGGCTCTTCTCTTGGCCCCAGGTTGAGGGGTTCCTTTCTAGGCTCTAAGAGATTCCTCTCTGGGCCCTCGGTCAGGGGGGCTTCTCTCCAGGTCCAGGTTAGGGGGCTTCTTTCTGGGCCCCAGATGGGGGTTATTTAGCCCCAGCTGCATGTGGGAGATCTGGGGGTGTCTGAGCCCTCCCCAGAGTCCTGGGCTGAGTTCTGCCCCTCCACTGCAGCTGCTCCAGAGTCCAGAGCAAGAGAAAGGCTAGTTCGTGACTTCAGTTTCTGAAGGTGACCACAGAGTGAAGGACAGTGACCTTTGCTCTGTAGGTCTGTTGAACTGGTTGGTTCTGTAGTTTGTCTGGAAGAGCACCCACATCTACCCATTCCGAAGCTGCCTGTCATGCGCCTGTGTGCAGAGCTCCAGATTCCTGTTACCCTGCCTTTGCAGTGCACTCGAGCATTATCTGTTGTGTTCTATTCTGTTTGTAAATGGGAGTCACAACCTTGCAAGGCAGGGCCTTAGCCTGGGGCACAGTTTGGTATAACTGGTTTCTTTTGTGTTTATGTGTATTTTATGTATTTGTGTGAAAATATTTGTGAAGAGGGGTCTTTAGATTTTGCTGTCTCTGACAGATGTTTGTCCGGAGCCTGCATAGGTTGCAGCCTGAAGACAAAAGTGTAATTTGAAGCGAGTGCCTCTTAGCCAGGATTGCTGTGGATCCTGGGAGGGCTGGGTGTGGGATGCTGCTGAGGGCCTGGCCTCAACTGGATTCTCTCCCCGTAGAACCGCTGAGCGTGGACGGCATGACTGGCAGTCTTGGTGAGCCTGAGGAGGGCTCCAACAGCCTCCCATCCTCGGAGCCAGGGCCCTGTCTGTTCCAGCAGCTGGACGAGGTCCCGGCTGTGCCCCTGCCCCAGCGGCCCCCAGCCCTGGCCGAGCCGGCCTTCTGCCCCTCCACTGCAGCTGCTCCAGAGCCCAGCACCAGCTCGAGGTTGGCTGTGGACTTGGCCCTGCCCGAGGCCCTTCCTGAGGAGCAGCCACTGGTCTCCAGCCACGTGGATATGGATGGAGAGCCTGAGGAAGCTGTGGCCCCTGCACAGGTGGCCTTGTCGGTCACTGAGTTTGGACTTATTGGCATTGGGGACGTGAATCCTTTCCTGGCTGCCCACTCAGTGTGCCCGGGCCCTGGGCTGCACTCGGAGCCCCTGTCACAGTGAGTGCAGCCCCCACCCCAGGGGCCCCCAGGCTCAGGAGAGTGGGAGGGGTCTCCCCTGAGGGACTGAGGGTGGTGTGGTCCCAAGGAGCAGGTTGTTTGTTTATTTAGTTTTATTCTCTACTTTTAATTTGGCTTATTTATTTTTTTGACTAGGTAATACATTCATATGGTCCAAAACCCGAAAAGGTACAAATGGGGCCAGTGCTAGTCTCCTCTCAGCCCTGCCCCAGCCACCAGCCTCCCCAGGCACACGTGAAAACACGGCCTGCTGGGGGAGGCGAGGTTGGGAGCCATGTGTTCGGCCCACAGCGCTCAAGCCGTGCAGTCTGTGAGACTGGACTGACCCTTTCTTGGTCTCTCTCTCGGTCTCTCCCCTCACTGCAGCTGTAACGTGATGACCTGTTGATTCCTGGCCACAGGTGGGCGTGTGTGGCCTAGACTGGACTTGAGGCCACTCTGGGGCCTGCCTCTGTCAGTCTTCCCGACCCTTTTCCTCGTGGGCCTCGGGTAACGCCATCTCTGCTTCAGAACACTTCAAGGACTAGGGTGAGCAGTGGCAGGGCTATCAGCCCTGCCCCTCCCCAACACAGACTGGCACCCTCAGCGCCTGGCCCCACTGCCTGGCTCCAGGCTGCCACCCACCGTGGGACCCATTGGGCAGCTGGGTGCAAAGGACCCGGCCCCCTCTAGCCAGCAGAGGCGAGGAAAGGCATGCCTGCCCATCAGGGAGATGGGGAGACAGGGCAGGATGCCGCTCCCCCCACCAGCAGCCTCCGCCCAGGGAGTCCACAGCACTCTGCTTGGCTCTGTCTCACTGCACCTGGCAGGGTCGTGGGCTGCACCTGGCAGGGCCATGGGCTGCCCCAGCCCAGGGGTCAGTGGACAGCTGCTACTCGGTGCCAAACCCCATGGGGCACAGAGCCATATACCTCGACGTTGGCCCTGCCCCACCCTTGACCTCGCCCACTCTGTCCACTTCAGGAAAAGCCGCACTTTACGCCCATCTGCCTCTCTATCTGCCCAAGGGCCTCTCAGCAGCCTCGTGCAGGCAGGGTTCCAAGACAGGTGACGGACACCCCCCTGTCGCCTGCAATGCTGAGGGGCCAGGTTCCAGCCTGTTTTCCTGACCCTGCAGGTCGTATTTCTGTTGAAACTCCCCAGCAAGATGGTTTGGGGTCCTGGTCCTTCTCTGCCCTTACCTCCCTCATTTTATTTATGTTTCTGTTTACAAATTGGAGTGGGGTCCTCCACAGGGGCAGGGCAGTACTCCCCAGTCCCGGGTGTCACCAGGAGAGTTTTGGCTCGAGCCCATCTGCAGAGTTGAACTCAGCCTTCCCTGTCACCCCACCAAGGACCACACTGTGAAGTGATAACTGCCTTGAATCCCTTGCTGTTTTATTTATTAAACTTTATTTGAAGCCCCTTGGATGCGTTGTGGTGGATTGGGCAGGGCGTGAGGAGGTGCTAGAGAATGCAGGTCATTCTCCTCACTTAGTCACTTGGTGGACTCTGTACCAGGCATCGTTCAAGGATCTAGGCTAAGTCATGACTGAGAGCATGGGGGCCATGGTCCATGTCAGGATGACTGATGCGAGGGAGGTGGTTAGTTAAATGGAGGGTACGTTTAATCTGGATCCTGAAGGAAAATCACCCTGTTTTGGTGAGGGCCGGTGTGAGTCAGGCTGACGTCACTGCCAACTGTGTGGGCAGGGGCTGGAGTCCCAGGATGGAGGTGGAGGGTGGGAGGGAGAGCAGCTGTGGGGCTGAGTGGGCTGCCAGCAGGCTTTGTGCTGAAGCCCCTGTAGTGGTTGTGCAGACAGGCTGGGCAGGGGCAGGGGACATGCTGAGAGGGGACAGGCCTGGACTGAGGGAGTGGAGGCTAAGGGCTGGTTGTGCTCAGGTGTGTGAGCAAGTTGGGCGTCTCCTGGAACTCAGAGCTTAGTCCTTCAGAGCCAGTTGTGCCAGCACTGGGAGCAGGAACACTTGTGGGGTGGAATGCCAGGGACATTAGAGTGATTTTCATTGGAGTTTTTAGTCTATTTTCACATGCTTGAGTATTTTAGAGCTATTGCTCTACTGTATTCTGGATTGCTCTGCTTCTGAGAAAGCTGCTGTTGTCCTTACTTACCTTCATGTTTTTGCCCTGACTGCTAAGGTTTGTATCTTTCTTCCTGTTTTTTTTTTAATCCTCACCCTCAGATATTTTTCTGTTTATTTTCAGATTGAGTGGGAGGGAGAGTGAGCGAAAGAGAGGGAGAGAGAGAGAGAAACATCGACCTGAGAGATGTTAGGACACATGTTTTCAACTTATTTGGAGCTGAATCTTATGTTAAGGTTGAGTTTAATTTAGTCAGAAACCATCAAACTGTCTTTCAGAGGGGCTGCACGACTTGCATTCGCACCAGTGGTAAAGGAGAGTCCTGCAGCCGGCTTCAGGGCCTCTCGGGCACTCTGTGTTGTCCTTGGTTTGGATTTCGGCTATTCTGATAGGTGTGTGGTGGTATCTCACCGTTTTCTATAGCCTTCAGAGATGGACCCTCATTTCTTCCTGCAGATGTTCTTCACTGGTCTGGGAAGATCCTCAAGTATTCCTCCTTCATTTTTGAAACACTTTTTTTTTTTGGTGGGATCAGCATTTTAAAGACGTTCCACTGACTCCTAGTTTCTTTTTTCTTTTTTTTGACTCCTAGTTTCTGATGAGAAACCATTCATGTGTTTTCCTAAATTAAACCCACCTTTTTTTTTTTTGTGATTTACTTTTTGTCTGGACACCAACATTTGAGTGTGATGTGCCAGGTGTAAATTTCCACCAGGACATCTTGGGCCTGAGGGCTGCCTTGCATCTGTGTTGGGGCATCTTGGCTATTATTTCTTCAGGTATGTCTGCTGCCCCCTTTTCTCTCCTTTTGGGCCTCCAGTTATACAGGAGAGCATTGGGTATTGTCCCACGGATTTCCATGTGTTTTATTTTTTCTGTGTTTCTATTTGGATTGTTGCTATTGACTGTTTTTTGAGGTCTCTGGTCCACTTTTCCACAGTTCCAGACTGCAATTCGGCCCGTCATGTATCTCCACTGTTTTTTGTTTTTGTTTTTCCATTTCTCTGCTGAAACTCTCCATGATTTTCTTCTTTTCCTCTACATTCTTTAACCTCTATAATACCCTACGGTAACATTATTTCTGGGCTGCTAGAGGTGTGGGTGCCTGGCACATTAGTGCCCCATGAGTGTCTGAAGGTCAAGGCCGGACTGTTGCTTTGCCTCACTGTACAGCAGAGGCTGTTCCTGCCCCTACCTTGGAGGTAGACTGGAGTCTGCAGCCTCTCCTGATCTTGGGGCCCAGTGGTGGGGGCTTGGAGTAAAAGACCCCAAAATACCACCCTCTCCCCAAGCAGTAGTCAGGGAAGGTGTGTGTGTGTGTGGCTCAGAGGCTCGACTCTCCTTGAAGATAGGTCTTGCAGAAAGGAATAAGCAGCCGGGCTGGTGTGGCGTTGACCCATGCACCCGGAGGTTACTGGTTCAGTTCCTGGTCAGGGCACATGCCCAGGTTGTGGGCCAGGTCCCCAGTGGGGGGCATGCAGGAGGCAGCCATTCGATGTTCTCTTTCATCAGTGTTTCTGTCCCTCTCTTCCTCTCCCTTTCTCTAAAATCAATAAAGAAAGAAAAAAAAAAAAAAAAAAAAGGAATAAGCAGCCTCATCCTGGGAAAGCCCAGCCCAGACTGAGTCCCTGGCTGGAGCAGCAGTTACTCAGGTGACCTCAGGGCCCAGGACTAAGTCATTCATTATTCACTAGGTCACTTTTCATTCAGTAAACACTAATTGAGCACCTACTCTGTGGGAGTTCCTGCTCTCCTGGAGCTGCCTCTCAGAGGAGATTATGATAAACTGATAGACACACAGGCGGAGATAATGCCAGAACTTAGAGCAGTGGTTCTCAACCTGTGGGTCGTGACCCCTTTGGGGGTTGAATGACCCTTTCACAGGGGTCACCCAACACCATCAGAAAACACATATTTCCGATGGTCTTAGGAACCGAGACACCGTTCCTCTATCCGTGTCCAGGCGAGTCTGCCCACATGCAGATACACCCACATACAACATGAGGAACTGTACTAAAGGGTCGTGGCATTAGGAAGGTTGAGAAACACTGTCTTAGAGGAAGGAAGTAGCAGGCTAGGGTATAGGGCAGGGAGGGCTTTGTAGTAGAGGTCCTTCATCCAGTGCTGAAGGTTCCCAGGATGCTGACCTGGTGCTAAAGCTGGGAAGGTTGCCCTGTCCGATTCAGGTTGTGTGGCACTTGGGGATGGCAAAGTCCTTGTATATGTATCCAGATCTGGGATTCTGACTCGCAGGTGACTCCAAGCATATACTCCCACTGTGTTGTATTCAGCTAACCTTCTAATAGTGCTTCTTAGACTGAGAACCATTCACCCACTTTGCCTTCCCTGGCCAGATATACCCATCACAGCCTCCCAGGGATACAGTCTCAACTACAGGGCCCTCAGCAAGGCTTAAAGCCCCCAGTATGGGAGCCAGCTCCCAGTGTGGTCTCTCAGCCCTAAGGAGAAGTATAGAAATAGGTGGGAGTGGTGGCTGCACTCAGGTGGCACCTACAGTGGGTACCCTTCTGCCCACCTGCCAGTCTTCTTTCCCTTAATCTTCACAATACTCCTTTTGGAAGCAAACTTGGAGTCTCTCAGGTTGTGCTGAGGCAAAAGGGTGATGAGAGCTGACAACCTTCTGAGCCCTGAGTGTCACAGCTTGGGAGTGACCAGTCACCACGGAGTTGGCGGGTTTCTAGGGCAGACAAGCATGGTCCCGGTATCATCAGTGCCCCAGCTTTGCCATCTGCAGGTGAGGGAGAAGCCATCCAGCCCAGGCTGTGTACCCTGAGCAGTCCTCGCTGGCTTATTTTCTCTACAAAGGACCAGGTGTGAAAGCTTGAAGTGGGAGACCCCAGGTAGCTGGTGTAAAAGCCCTGACCCCAATCCTAACACTAATCCTAATCCCTACTGCCCTGCTAGATTTTAATCCTGACCCTGCCCAGATATTTTAAGAACAGGATGAGACTGAGGTCACTGGGGAAGGGCTGCTAGCCACACCAGCTCCAGCCTCATGCCCTCCCTCCAGCCACTCCTGGCTCACCAGGAACCAGGCCATGCCCTGTCCCACCCAGCGCCTCTGCCTGCAGAAGCCTCCCCTGGAGACCTCCTGGGTCTGACCTTGCAGCACACCCACCTAGGCTGTCTCCACCACCACGCCCCATTTTGGCGGGTGTCTCAGTTTACCTTCCCCCAGTACACAGTAGGTGCTCAATAAAAGAACCCCGAATTTCCTTGAATCCAATACAATGTTGCATCTTTACCTTAACTGGAAGTGTTGTTGGGCTGTCAACACCAAGAGCGGTACTCACCTGATTTAAGTGAGGTTAAAATGAAAAAAAGTGCAATAATAATGATGCCAGCTAATATTTATGTAAAATTTTTGTCAGGCTCTTCATTATTTTATCAGGTAATTCTCACAACAACCCTAATTTAGTTTATGTTGCATGAATGAAAGAATGAGTGCTGGGAGTTAGAACCCAGGACCGGCCTTTCCCTGGGGCCCGCCTTAACTTATGAGTGGCAGCAGTAGAAGCCAATGAACAGAACCCGAGCATACGTGGGGCGGGGGCCACGCCGGCAGGAGAGGATGACGCACGGGATCCAGCTGAGCCTGAAAAGGCCCTTCAGACAGCCCCACCTCTGCCCAGACTTTAGGGAAACCCTCCAGGCAATTAAATCAGATTCTCCGGGACGTTTTGGAGGAAGTCTCGGGGCGACTTCAACTTCTTGGGGCGTGCGGTTGAAAAGGGGGTTGGTTGCTGACGTGACGTCCCTTCCACACCGTCTCCACCACACTACAGACGGAAAATCTAGGTCCAGAAGTTTCCAGGCAGGACCTTGTCACGTCCTGGGGGTGGGTTGAGTTATTTTTGGTGTGTGTGGGGGTGGTCGGGGTGTGCCTCCAGCGGCTTGCTTATGGAAAGTTGATCGGGGCCCAGGGGACTTGACTCAGACACTTGTCCCCCAAACCCCACCGTCTGGACAATGACCAAAAGCAGAGGCCTGTTCATCCTTCCGAGAAGCAGGGTCGAGGGGTGGGTCTCTGAGTTCAAGTCCCAGCTGCTTGACTTTAGGCCAGGGGCTGCCCCTCTGTGGACCTTGCTCCCTTCATCTCTAAAAAGGGCCGAGAATATCCTCTGTAGGATCATTGGAGGTGGTGGGGTGGTGACATGGGACCTTGGCGCCAGGTCACCTGGGTTCCAGTCCCTGCCCCCTTCCCACTGTGTGACCTTGGGAGTGACAGAACCTCTTGCCTGTCAAGTGTTCTGCCAGATCAAGTCAGGGCTCTCCAGGAGATGGTCACACTCTCCAGTGCCTCTCAAGTGGTTCCAGCCAAAAGGATCCAGTGTGGGTGTGTGGACACTGAGAGTGGATGTAATGGGCCCCTCTGGTCTCAGTTTCCCTGGCTTGGGTGCTCTTGACCTCCAGGTACCTCCCAGCTCAGGGCTCCCTGGGACCTGTGGGGTGCAGGGCACAGTCCCAAACGCTAACCCTTTCCAGGTGTGAGAGAGTTCCTACCTCCTGGCACCTCTGCTCTTCTGTCAAATGGAGACAGTAAGTGCTAGATAGCAACAGTGCCTGGCACAGCCTTCAGGGTGGGTGTTGAGGAATCTCATCTAAACTGCCACGGGTGGCAGAACCGCAGAAAAACCTCTGCAATTAAGCCTAGACACCCCATCACTTTTTTAGGCACTTAACTGATTCAGGCTATTGAGATGTACACGGAATGAGTACCAGTCTCCAATGAGGAGACCGAGGCTCAGAGAGGAGCCTGGGGGACTTAATCCAGTGGAGCCCGAGCTCCTCCACACCCCGCAGTTATGCTGAGGCTGCCCATTCACACCTCACTCATACGTTCTTCGCCTGTCACCTCATCCCACCCCGTCCCAATCCCCCAGACTCAGCCAGCCCGATCCGTGTGACCTAGGCACTGGGTGACCCTGGGCTCGCTGTCCCTAAGCCTTAGCTTCTCAGGCTGGTGGGGGTTGATTGGGCGCAGACGACCCCTACCAGCTCAGAGACTCCTCCTCCACACCCCCGGTCCCCAGCCGCGGCGCTCACTCACTTTCCACCCGGCTGCTTCCTGCGCGCAGCGGGCGGGGCGGGGGCAGAGTCCGCCCCCTCCCCTGGGGCTGCCCCGCCCCGCCCGTCGCTCCCCTCCCCTCCCCTCCCCTGCCGGGCCGGGCTCGGCGGCCATGTGACCCTGCGGCTGGGCCAGGACCGGCCGGGACGCGCTGGGACTGGCGTCGCGGCTCGCGGGCGCTGCCCGGGGCGGGGGCGGCATGGAGCGGAGGTGGGTCTTCGTGCTGCTCGACGTGCTGTGCGTGCTGGTCGGTAAGAGCTGCAGGAACCCGGGCGTGTGTGTGTGTTGGGGGGCACCTCTTCCCAGGTGGCTCTCGTCTGCGCTCCCGCGAAGGTTTGTAGGGCGGGGGAGGGCGTGCGACGCCGCCACCTCTCCGAGGCTCCTTCTTAGAGGGGTGACTCGGGAGAGGACTCGGCGCACCTTCCCCGGCGTGCGCCCTCCCGGCCTCAGTTTACCCTGCTCGCGCCGGGTTCAGGAGTGGGTCGTGAACGGCGCCGGGGTTGGCACCCCGGCCCGAGGCAGCAGGAAGTCGCCGCAAGCGCCCCGGCTCCCGCCGCGCCCGACCGGGGCGGTGATTCACGCGGGCGGTGGCCCCGGTAGGAGCGGGGCGGGACGGAGAGTGCGCTGCGGGCCCCCATCCGGAGGACCTTCACACTCCCGTCTCGGGGAGGGCTGAAGCCTGGCCCGGGACGCACAGCTCGTCGGTGGGATTTGAACCCGCTCAGGCGTAGCGTCGCGGAGAGAAAGCTGGGCCCCGGGCTACGAATGAACCGCGGGCTTCGGGGCCGCGCGACCAAACCTGTTGGGCGGCTTTTCGGGCCAGGTTGGCGGAGGGGGCAGCCCGACGCCCCTTCCCTAACCCTCCCCTCCCCCAGGGTCCCAGGAACAAAGGCTGAGTGTTTGCTCTGGGGCTGAGGGCAGTGGCCTCGGAATTCTACCCGCGGCTGGGGGAGGGGCCCCTCTACAGAAATCGCCCCCGGCTTCCTAATCTGGTTCTTGCTCCTCAGACCTACACCGAGCCGACTGAGATCAAGGGATGGCGAGTTCAGTCCTGGTGGATGCAGGGGCCAGGCCCTCCTCCCATGTCCCAGATGAAACCCCTTTTGGGATGGGCCAGGTGACAGCAGGAAATCACCTGGGCACTATATCCTGAGCACCTATGTTATTTATTTAAATATTTGTGTGGGACTTACTGTATGGTAGGGGCTAAGCAACATGCAAATAATCAAACTTTCTCCTCCAAACAGCTTTTGAGGGAGGAGATGTTCTAATCCCCAACTTCATCCCACGGGAGGCAGAGCTAAGATTAGGTCGTTTATTGCTGTTGTGTGCCAGGAGTTGGTGGTTCAGGAAGACCTGCTCCCCATTCTAGAAGATTCAACACATAAACATTTCAGTTTGAAATGCTTACAAGGGTCCTGAGGAAATACTGTGGGATGATGTGAGGTCAGGGAAGCTGAACCAAGGGAGGCTCTGATTCAGTGCACAGAGCTCTGCTTCCCGATCCCAGGAAAGGCTAGTCTGGTTCTGATTGGGGGTGTCTGAGTCTTCAGTGGGAGGGGCTGGGAAACGGGAGTTGGGAGGCTGACCTCCCCTCCCAGGCACCCTGTGTGACTTGATTTCTCAGCATCTGCTAGCCCTGCCCCCAGTCCAACACACACACACACACACACACACACACACACACACACACACACCCCCCCCTTTGGGAGTTTCCTTGTTGGCCTGTCTGTCTCTACCCTTGCCCTCACTCACAGCAGCCAGAGGGATCCTATGAAAACATGCTCTGTTCCTCTGCTCCAAACCCTCCTGTGCCTCCCACCTCACTTACAGCCAGATTCACATTCTCATAATGTCCTCCATCCCCCAATCCCTCAACACAGTCCTTCTCAATGCTCCAACTCCCCTGGCATGGTCAAACCTCCAGACCTTTGCATTAGCTTGTACCCTGTACTTGGCACTATTCCTCAGCTGTTCCCTGAACTTCCTCTTCTCTTCCAAGCCACCTTCTCTGTGACTTCCTTTACTTTCCTATTGAAAGCTGCAGCCACCTCTCCGATTCCAGCCATCATTTACTTATTCTTTATTTCTAACTCCTCTCGGCTCCCTGAAGTTGATCTCTGTTTTCTTCAGTCTTTTTCCAGACTCAGCATCAAAAGTGCTCAACACCATCACTAAAGGGCCCCTGGTACCCTTGAATTTGGCCTGTTGGGAGGAGTTGGCCTCGCTGTCCCCCTCCTCTGGAATTCAGATCTCAGAAGAGCCACACCCTTTTACACTTGTTACCTGCCCTGCCAGGGGCAAAGGACACCGTGCTGGAGTTTGTCTCTGTACACCTACTCCATAGATCAGGGAGCCCTCTATGGGAAGGGGGAAAGGGTTTCAGCTTAGCAGGACTCCAGTGCCTGAGTGACTTAACCTTTCATAATTTGGTCATGACTTGTGGCTCCTTAATGTGTCTTTGAACTGAACTTCCAAGTCTGGTTTGTCTTGGTCACTGTGTGGCCGGCTCAGGGACAAATGAGAATGTGAGCCTCTCAGCTGGAAGAGCAGGAAGCCCTTCTTATAACAGATCCTTATTAATGCCTGCCTAAGCTCCTGGGACTCAGCCTTGAGCATTGCAACCCTCCTTGCTCACAGATGTGGGAGGGAGGGGATTCAATCAAGTATCAATGATTACATAATTATACATAAGGACAAGAGACAGGAGTGACAGACATTTTCTTCTTGGAGAGTGATTACTTGGGTGTGACAGTCAGGAGAGGGGAATGGAACTGAGACTGGGGGGAAGTTAGTTAGGATATTTTGGGTAGTGAGAAGGACATTTGCAAAGGTCCTGGGGTGGATGCTTTCTGGATTTGTTGAAGGAGCAGAAAGGAGGATGGAGGGAAATGAGGGGAGAGGGTAGGAGACATGGAGTAGGTTAGACAATGGGCCTGGGGAGGACTTTGGTGTTCATCTGAGGATGATGGGGAACCCTGAGGGGGTTTTAATGGTGGGCATGAATATGAGGAATCCAGGAGGGAGGCTGAGGCAGGTGTGCAAGCTCCAGAAGAAGGCTTGGTCTATGTAGCCTGGGGCTTGGCTGGTGCTAGGGGAGAAACATGTGGCTTCATGGCTTCTTTCCCCTACTCCCAGCTTCTCTGCCTTTCATCATCCTGACACTCGTGAATGCCCCGTACAAGCGAGGGTTCTACTGTGGTGATGACTCCATCCGGTACCCCTACCGTCCAGACACCATCACTCACGGGCTCATGGCCGGGGTCACCATCACTGCCACCGTCATCCTTGTAAGGCAGGAAGGGCTTGTAGGGTGGGGGCAGGAGGGGCTTGTAGTATCTGCCCTGGGTGGTATTTGTGGGGAAGAGGGCCCCTTTCAGAATTCCCAGTTCCCTAGTGGCCTCAGGGGAGCCAGAAATCCTAAACCCCTTTTAGTGGGAAGGACTGAGCCATTGCCTGGTGGAGACCCCACAGTTGCTGCTCTGGCCCCACCCTGAACTTCTTGGCTGATCCCTTTGTAGGTCTCTGTGGGAGAAGCCTACCTGGTGTACACAGACCGCCTCTATTCCCACTCCAACTTCAACAATTACGTGGCTGCTGTCTACAAGGTGCTGGGGACATTCCTGTTTGGGGCTGCAGTGAGCCAGTCCCTAACAGACCTGGCCAAGTACATGATTGGCCGGCTGCGGCCCAACTTCCTGGCAGTGTGTGACCCTGACTGGAGCCGTGTCAACTGCTCCATCTATGTACAGGTGGAGAAGGTGTGCAGGGGAAGCCCTGCCAACATCACTGAGTCCAGGTGGGTGCTGGATTAGCAGCTTTCACTCTGGGTGATGCTGGGAGAGCCCAAGCTATAGATACGCCCACTCCCTGGGGGAAAATGGGGGCTGGAGAAGGGCCTCCAGAAGCTGGATATTGAAGAATGAATTGCTAGATGGAGAAGGATAAAGAGGTACCTCCTTGGGCAGCGTCCAGGGTGGGAGCGGGGCCAGGAGGTTCCTGTGGGCCTGGGTCCTGCAGGTAGGGAGGCAAGGTGGGGCTGGGAGTTTCCGGCCCTGGAGCAGAGCAGTCAGTATTAGGAGGGGTTACCCACCTCCCCTAAATTTCAGCTTTTGCTCTGTCCTCTCACCATCTCCGCTGATAAACTTCACTTAAGTGACTTCCTTCTTTTTCTTTCTTAATTTTATTTTTATTCTTTGATTAATCCTCACCCGAAGAGTTTTTTCATTGATTTTTTTTTTTTTTTTTTTTGATAAAGTGGACGAGAAGGAAATGGAGAGAGAGAGAGAGAAAAACATTGATGTGAGAAAGACACATCAACTGGTTGCCTCTCACACGACCCCGACCAGGGCTGGGGATCGAACCTGCAACCCAGTTGCATGCCCTTGACCTGAGACCCTTTGGTCTGCAGGCTGACGCTCTCACCTCAGAGTCAAATGGGCTAGGGCTTCTTATTTTTCTCTTTAAAAATGATATAAAATTCACAGCATAAATTCACTAATTTAACCATTTTAATGTGTATAATTAATTGATTTCTAGTGCATTCACAGTGTTGTGCAGCCATCTCCACTATCTTATTCCAGAATATGTTCATCACACCAAATAGAAACTCCATGTCCATTAGCTCTCTCTTCTCCCTAGCCCTTGTTAACCACTAACCTGTTTTCTGTCTCTATGGATTTACCTACTTTAGACATTTCATATGTATGGAATCATATACCATGTGGTCTTCCCGGGCTTCTTTAATGTTTTAAAGGTCACCCATATTGTAGCTTCTGTCATTTTTTGTTTCATGTATTATGAGCTCTGTTGTTAGGTGCATATATCTTTATAATTGTTATATCTTCTTGATTGATTGACCCTTTTATCACAGTAATGTCCTTTTTTTCTCCTAACATTTTTTGTCTCAATGTCTATTTTGCCTGATAATAGTATAGCATAGACAGCCTGGCAGTCTTTTGGTTGTTGTTTGCATGGAATATTTTTTTTAATTCTTGTACTTTCAATCTATTTGTGTCTTTGAATCTAAAGTGAGTCTCTTATGTTCATTATAAAGTTAGATGTATTTCAAATCCATTCTCAGCCCTGGCCAGTGTGGCTCAGTGGTCAGAGCATTGGCTTGTGCACCGAAGGGTTGTGTGTTCTATTCCTGATCAAGGGAATGTACCTGGGTTGCAGGTTTGATCCCCAGGGGCATGTGTAGGAGGTAACCAATCGACGCTTCTCTCTTTCTCCCCACCCTTCCACTCTCTCTAAAAATCAATGGAAAAAATATCCTCAGGTGAGGATTAACAACAAAAAATAAATAAATAAATAAATAAAATCTATTCTCTAGTTTCTGCCTTTTAGATAATTTAATACATTCACATTAATGTAATTACTGATAAGGAAAAACCCCTGTTGTCTACATATTGTATGTTTTTGTTTTGCTTTGTTTCTTAATTTCTCCATAACTGTCTTTTCTGTTAAATAGGTATTTCCTATGCAAAAAGTTTACAGAGATATTGTGCACCCCCTTTGAAGTTATTGTCACAAATTATATATATATATATGTATGTATATATTTTTTTTGTAATCCTCACCTAAGGATGTTTTTCCATTGATTTTCAGATAGAGTGGGAGGGAGGGAGAGAGAGAGAAACATCCATGTAAGAGAGACACACCGATTGGTTGCCTCCCACATGACCCCAACCAGGGCTGGGGGATCAAACCGCAACTGAGGTATGTCCCCTTTACTGGAATCAAACCTGTGACTCTGGTCTGAGGGCCATTATTCAAAATGCTGAGCCAAACCGGCCAGGGCCATGAATGATATGTTTATACATTGTGTGCTATTCAATATAGATTTATATATATTGTTTTACGTAGTTTTTGAAATTGAGGCATAATAACATATTAGTTATATATATGTTATATAATTATTTGATAGTTGTATTTATTGTGATTACCACAGTAAGTCTTATTTACTTTGTTAGCATATATGCAGGTTTTGTTTTTTTTAATGATTTTATTGATTTTTGAGAGAAAGAGAGATAGAAACATCATTGTGAGAGAGAAACATTGATCGGCTGACTCCTGCACATCTCCCACTGGGGATCGAGCCTGCAACCCAGGTATGTGCCCTGAACAGGAATCGAACTGGGATCTCTCAGTCCATGGAATGACTCTCAGTCCACTGAGCCACATCAGCTGGGCAGTTTTATTTTTAGTCACATAGACAAAAACCAGAATTATAAACCAAAAATACATTAATATTGACATTTCTATTTTGTAATTACCTTTATTGGTGTTTTTTACATCTTTGAGAGGATTTGAGTTACTATCTAGTAGTATCCTTCATTTCTCCTTGAGAGACTCCCTTTTTGTAGCGCAGGTGTATGAGCATTGAATTCTCTGGATCTTTGCTTATCTGGTAAGGTCTTAATTTCTCCTTCATTTTTAGAGGATAATTTTGCTAGATACAGAATTCTTGGTTGACAGTTTTTTCTGTTTTAGTTTTTTGAATATGTAATCTTACACCTTCTGGCCTGCATGGTTTCTGATAAGACATTAACTGCCAATCTTACGAGGGTCCCATGTACACAATGAGTCCCTTCTCTTGTCTGTTTTTAAGAATGTCTCTGACTTTTTTTTGGCATTTTGATTATAATGTGTCTCTCTGTGGATGTTTTTCAACTTATCCTACTTGGAGTTTCAATGCGCTTCTTGGGTGTGTAGATTAAAGTATTTCATCACGTTTGGGGATTTTTCAGCCATTATTTCTTAAAATATTCTGTCTGCCTTCTTCTCTCCTCTCCTCTCCTTTTGGGACTCCCATTATGTCTAACAGCAACCTTGTTTCAATGTAAAATTCTCCCTCAGATTGTGAGAAGCTCAGTGGAAGGGGACAGGAGACCAGGAGGGTGTTGAAGGTAGAGATGCTGAATAAACTGTCAGGTCTCTGAGCATGGGCCCTCCGGCTCTGTCCTCTGCACAACCCTCCTGATGCCTGCTGCCCTCTCCTTTCTTAGATTATCTTTCTACTCCGGACACTCCTCCTTTGGGATGTACTGCATGATGTTCTTGGCGGTGAGTTGGTTTTTCTGTGCCTTGCTTGGTGTGGGACTGTGGCCAAGACACTCTCCTTTGCTGGGCCTCAGTTTCTGCATCCATAAAACAGGGTGGGTGGAGGAGGTGATTGGTCGGGCTAAGTGATTTGTTTATAAAAACTGGAGGCCCTGGGTCTTCTGGTTCCGTAGTCTTGACCTCAGGGCTACCATCTGTGCGTTGGCCATGGGTTGAGCCTGGAAGGATCCTGAACTCATGGCTGCCCTCTGGCCCCCCAGCTCTACGTGCAGGCGCGGCTCTGCTGGAAGTGGGCACGGCTGCTGCGGCCCACGGTGCAGTTCTTCTTGGTGGCATTTGCCCTCTATGTGGGCTACACCCGCGTATCTGACCACAAACACCACTGGAGTGATGTCCTCGTGGGCCTCCTGCAGGGGGCACTGGTGGCCTGCCTCACTGTGAGCTCCTGGGTCCCAACTTTTTGCCCTGGTACCTGCTTACCCACTGTCTCCCTTTTACAGGTCCCTAGTCCTCTCTACTCCCATCTCTCCCCTAAGAACCCAGGCTTCCCACCCCAGGTTCTGCTTTTCTCATTGCCCCTGCCATGGTATTTATCCCTCTTGGTTCTACCACTCCTCACCCCCTTTCCTTCCCAGGGTTCCCTTCCCCACCCCCCCACCTGGGTTCCAGTCCTACCCCTGCCCAGCCAGCTTTTGCCCTCTTTCCTCACCCAGGTTCGTTATATCTCTGACTTCTTCAAAACCCGGCCACCACAGCGCTGCCTGGAAGGAGAGGAGCTGGAACGGAAGCCCAGCCTGTCACTGACACTGACCCTGGGTGAGGCTGACCGCAACCACTATGGGTACCCTGTCTCCAGCTCCTGAGGCTGGAAGCTGCCCGGGCAGGACTTCCAGTGGAACTCAGGCTGTGGGTCAGTATGTCCGTGGTGCTGAGATGGCAGTGAGGGCTCTGGACAGGCTCCAGGTGCTCCAGGCTGGTTCCCAGAGGGGTTTCTGTTAAACCCACCTCCTATGCACTGGACAGGGGCATGGTGGTACCCAGGGCAGCCCTAATGTTTGGATGGGGACCTTTCATTATGAATAGAGCTCCCTTGTGCCTCTTTTGTTGGCTTAGGGAAGGGACCAAGAGATATGGATAAATGCTGTTTTTGTAAAATGTATATGTGGATTTTTAGTAAAATAGGGCATTTGCTTGATAAATGTTATCAGCGCCTCTGTTTTTTATGGTCAATCTGAGGACTGTTCTACAGCAGAGAGGGAGAACCCTCCCTTGTCAGCAGCTCAGCTGAGCTCAGTTGTCAGAGCTGGTGAAGTCAACAAGCCAGATGAAAGTAACAGCCAAGTCTTTAGTCAGTCATTTCTTCAGTACAAAATGGTGTTAAAAACTTACATCATATGGGAGCTAAATGCGCTCAGTTGACCATGTAAGGAAATGTATGCATGTATTCCAACCTATGTATACACATCTAATTATAAAGATTTCTGTGTGTAACTGTCTATATCTATATTAAGCTAAAGATGAATTTATACTGTTGTTTCCAGCCTGATCTATTATCACATGGATACTGTAACTTCCCCTTGACCGGGGTTCGCAACTGCAACCTTGGCATATCAGGATGATGCTGTAACCAATTGAGCAACCGGGCCAGGGCCATCTGCCATTTATTTAATTCATTACTCTATTCTAGATTATTTAGACAGTAGCTTCAGAATTGTAAATTACCCCAAGGGAAATATTTTCTAAAATAGAGTCCATTGTTTATGTACAGTACATTTTGCTTTAGTCTATAGATTCTGCTCATTTTCAAAGTTATGTAGGTCAGCACCTTTTGCCCCACTGTAGGTGGCTACAGTGAGTTTCTTTCATACATTTCTAATATAGTTACATTCTTTGGCACATCCTGTATTTCATTATGTGACACTCCCATGTCCTAAATTCAAATTTAAACTTAATTTTAATTGATTATGATTTAATCGTTGGGCTGTAAAAAACTCTAGGTTTTCATAAATGCACAATGGCAGATATCTGTCACTAAAGTGTCCTGTGTAACACATCGAGTCCTCACACCATGATTTGCCATCTCTAGTTTTGCCTTTTCCAGAATGTCATATAAATGGGGTCATACAATGTGTAGCCTCTTCATACAGGATTCTTTACTTAGCAGTATACATGTAAGATTCATCCATGTCTTTGTATAGGTTTGTTTACATAAAAAAATCCAAGCCTATAGAGAATTTTTGTAAGGATTAATTGAGCCAATATTGACTACAGTTGCCGGGACGTAAGATCTCACATGCACCTGAGAACAGTTGTTTTGCAGCTTCTCTTTTGCATTTGGGATTAAGGAGGGAATGTAAGGAAGATTAAATGAAGGTGGAAGAAAGCAAGGCCAGGTAGGGGTGGGGTGGGCTGGATTACAGGATAGTTAATAAGATTATGTGCTCTCTTGAGGGCAGTTATGCTTATTTCAAAGGTGTGCTAACCCCGATGCACAAAAATGGACAGGGCTTGCTTAAGGCAAAGATAAAACCTTTTACTAAAAGAGTTAGATGTCTGGGGCATGACTACCCACCATGACCTTCAGAGTTAGGAATTTGTGATTAGATCTCCCTGTGAGGTTACTTTGGGTAGAACCCCTGTTTCTTCCACTGGTTGATGGTTCATTCCTTTCTATTGTTGAATTGTGTTCCATTGCTTGTGTAGGAGAGGGAAATTAATTTCCTTCTACTCTTCTAGGTTCTTGCTGAGACTCCCCTGTAATAAAGACAGACTAACAGAGGAAACCAAATTTATCTCCTGTATACATGAGAGAGAACCAGGAATACTGAGTAGCTTCCTGAAATAGCCCAAGTCATCACCTTAGATACCATCTTGAGCTAAAAACAAAAAGATGTTGGGATAGTGGGGAATCCAGTTAAGGCAGGTTATCCAGCAGAACAGTAAACAAGGGTATGGTTGTTAATGCAGATTTAAGTCTAGGCCTTCTCCATTGAAGAGTCTTGAGATTTTCTTTCTTCTTTTCCTGGTACAGAGGGAGACACCCCTACACGTGGAGATTTCCTTATAAATGTAAATTTACCTCACAAAAGAGCAACAGAGATTCTGCTGTGTCTAGTTTTAAAAGAAAAATCAGCTCAAAATAATCCTAATGAAAAAGAGGCATTATTTGGGGGTGGCATGTTCTGCTTTCCTTCACATGGATACACCCCGCTTTGCTTATGCATTCATTCATCTACTAAGATGAAACCAAGAGGCAGTGATCGGATCTGGGTTTGTTGTCTCGCAAAATTGAAGAATGAGTTCACAGACAAAGGGGCAAGAGAAAGCAAAATTTATTGGAAGAACAGACGCCCTTCAGCAGGGAGGGGATCCAAGTGGGTTGCCGGTGAGGCTCCTTTGTCTAGGGGTAGATATATGCCTTGCTAGCTTCTGATTGATCCTTTCAAGGAATTCTGCCTTAGCAACACCCATACATTTTAAAGCTTGTGTTTCCCCCTTAACTGGGATTAGCCCTAGGTCATCTAGCTCTAAATTCATACTACCTTTCTGGAAAAAACATATGTGGGCATCACTGATTTAAAAAAAGCTCACCCTGTCAGGTGAATTGGGGCAGATTTGATTAGCAAAAATATACATTGTCCCATAACATTCCTTAGTTGGAAGTGGACAGGTTTTGATTTAAAAACAGATGTTGATTAGCTATCCCTGACATTTGTACAGAAGCTTTATTCCCAAGGGAAGAGACAATTTAGTTGGGTGTGGTTAAGAACAAATAAAGTAGCCCCAAGTATCTCTAGGGGCCTCAGTAACTTTCCTTTTTATGGTAATTTCAACTTCTCGCAGACTATCAGTGAGGAGGAGGGGAAATGCCCTTGGAACAACCCTATGCTTGCTTTTGGTTTCTTTTCTAAATCCAATTTTGGTTTCCTATAATCCTTTTTAAGGTAACCTGGCTTTCTGCAATAGAAACATACTCCAGTTTCGCAGCGGAACTCATTCTGCAATCCAGTTGCCTTGCTCCCAGAAATCAGTAGATATATTAATTGGAATAGATCAGATTTGCCAGCACTATATTCTTTACCAGTAAATAAAATTCATTTGCAAATCTATCAGGGTTCCAGAAAAAGGAACTATACAATCCATGTTCCTCTCTTGCCTGAAACCAGCCTTTCTGGTTTTTTTATTTGTTATGTAATTGATCTCTGCTCCTTCCAAGAGCTTCTTTTTTTTTTTTGGGAGGGAGAGAGAGAGAGAGAAACATCGACGTGAAAGGGACACATCGAGTGGCTGCCACCCACACCACCCAACCAGGGCCGGGGACAAACTGCAACCGAGGTACATGCCCTTAGCGGGAACCGAACCCGGGTCTCTCCAGACCGCAGGCCGACGCTCCAACCGCTGAGCCAAATTGGCCAGGGCACAAGAGCTTCTAATTTGCAATCATGCTTTTCATTTCTATAAGTCAGAGTGTTAATGGGGGCTGGGAGTTTCTGGCCTTGTAAGCATAATTTCCCATGTTGAGTTTAGTTTTATTTTGAGATCTGTAGAGTCCAGATAAACCTTCAGATATACTGTGTACTGTGTTCTACCTGTGTGCTGAGCTCCAAGTCCTCAAAAACCTCCCCCAGCATGCAGGAGGTGGCCAGTCAGTGTTCTCTCTCATCAGTGTTTCTCTCTCTCCCTCACCCTTCCTCTCTCTCTAAAATCAATCAATCAATCAATCAATAAATAAAATAAAGAAAACCTCCCACAGCCTTCCCTTCCCGTGTTCCTGTCCCTTAATGCCTCTGTCTCCTCAGAAGGACATCCTAATTTAAGTGTTTAGCTGTTATGAATAGAGCTGCTGTGCATAATTCCATGCTAGTTTTTGTTTGGATGTAGGTTTTTTTTTTGGTATGTGCCCCTAGCGGGAACTGAACCCGGGACTCTGGCCCACAGGCTGACCCTCCAACCTCTGAGCCAAATTGGCCAGGGCTGGGCGTAGGTTTTAAAGCAATTGCAGAAACACTGGAGTAACAATTGTATTTGGGATCTTAAGGTGAGACTGTGGAAAAACTACCAAATTATCTTCCAAAGTGGTTGTATGTTTCACCAATAATTAAGGAGAGTTTCTATTCTTCACCCTCTAGCAATTGGTGTCATTTTTTGTTGTTGTTGGAGTTTAGCAATTCTTTTTTTTTTTTTAAATCCTCACCTGATGATGTTTTCCCACTGATTTTTAGATAGAGTGGGAGGGAGGGAGGGAGAGAAACATTGATTGGTTGCCTTCAGTACCGGGCTGGGATTAAACTTGCAACCCAGATGTGTGTCCTTGACCGGGAATCGAACTTGTGACCCTTCGGAGTGTGGGCCAATGCTCCAACCACTGGGCGACACCAACCAGGGCTGAATTAATTTTTGTATGTGATGTGAGGGTCCAATTTCATTGTTTTGCAGGTGAATAGTCAGTCACTCAGCACCGTTTGTTGAAAAGACCTTTTCTTGACCTAATTTGATGATGGTCCATCCTTGTCAAACATCAGATGTCTGTGGACAGATGGGCTTATTTCTGGGCTCTCATTTCAATTCTATTCATATATGTATAATCATGTGTCACATAATCACATTTTGGTCAATGATAGACTACATATACAACCATGATCCCATAAGATCATAATGGAGCTGAAAAATTCCTATGGTCTAGTTATGATGCAGCTGTCCTAAGATTATAGCACAATGCATTACTCATGTATTTGTAGTGATGCTGGTGTGCACATACCTACTCTGCTGTCTCTATGAATTTGACTATTCTAGGTATATCATACAATATTTGTCCTTTTTAATATTTTTCCCCCACTTAGCATAATGTCTTCAAGGTTAATTCATGTTGTAGCATGTCAGAATTTCCTTCCTTTTTAAGGCTGAATAATATTCCAATGTATGTTTATACCACATTTTATTTATACATTTTAAGTCTGCTTTGTCTCTCAAATTAGATTGGAAACTTCACAAGAACAGACACTCCATATTGTTAATGTGTTTTTTTAGCCCATAATAATACTAAATGTTTTATAAATGTTTGGTGGTAGACAAACCAATTGGTATATACTACTAAAAATGCAGGTGAATCTAGAAAATAATAGTAAAAGTTAACATTTTTAAGAACTTGTAAATGTGTGTCAGTAACCACAGTTAAGTCCTCTATGTTAATTATCAAATTTATTCATCACAATAACTCTCTTGGTAATCTGATAAATTAGGAATACTATTATTATTCTCTCATTATCTTTCTTTTTCCCCCACAGAGGAGAAAACCAAATCTTAAGTAGTCTGAGTTATGTTTTTTTAAAGTCACTTTTTATCTTTCAATTACAGTTGATATACAATATTATATTAGTTTCAGCTGTACACCCCAGTGATCATTCCAATAAATCTTGTACCATCTGACATCATATATAGTTATTAGGGTATTATTGACTCTATTCCCTATGCTGTACTTTACATCCTCATGACTATTCTGTAACAACCAATTTGTACTTCATTTTTTTTAATGGACTTGTTTTTTATTTTTATTTTTTATCCTCACCCGAGGATATTTTTCCATTTTTTGTACAGATAGAGTGGGAGGGAGAGAGAGAGAGAAACATCGACGTGAAGGGACACATCGAGTGGCTGCCACCCGCACGACCAACCAGGGCCGGGGACAAACTGCAACCGAAGTATGTGCCCTTAGCGGGCACCGAACCTGGGTCTCCGGACCGCAGGCCGACGCTCTAACTGCTGAGCCAAACTGGCCAGGGCTGGCTTGCTTTTTTTTTTTTTTTTTTTTTTTTTAGAGCAATATGGTTTTATTGCATATGCCTGGGTGCAGGTGGGCTGAGCCCAGAAGGGTTCAGCCTGGAATTGGTTTTTAAAAATAAATGTTTTTATTGATTTTTTTTAGCGAGGAAGGGAGAGAGAGATAGAAATATTAATGTGAGAGAGAAACATTGATCAGCTGCCTCCTACACACCCCCTACGGGGGATCCAGCCGCAACCTGGGCATGTGGCCTGACTGGGAATAGAATCAGGACCTCTCATTCCATGGGATGATGCTCAATCCACTGAGCCACATTGGCTGGGCTGATTTGTACTTCTTCTTCTTTTTTTTTTTTTTTAATCCTCAACCGAGGACATTTTTCCATTTTTTGTTCAGATAGAGCAGGAGGGAGAGAGAGGATGAGAGAGAGAGAGAGACATCGATGTGAAGGGACACATCGAGTGGCTGCCACCCACACGACCAACCAGGGCCGGGGACAAACTGCAACCGAGGTACGTGCCCTTAGCGGGAACCGAACCCGGGTCTCTCTGTACCCCAGGCCGACGCTCCAACCGCTGAGCCAAACCGGCCAGGGCCGATTTGTA